ACGACGCTGACATTCTCACATTCTCAGGAATTGAAGAAAGACACACACAAAGATCTTGTACAACACTGAGACTCTTATTTTGTTATTAAATACATCTTCTGTCAACCATCATCATCATTTTCCACCATGCACCTGATGATCTCTCACGGTACACAGCAGCACATGGATGACATACAAGATAAACAACAACAACAATAACAACAACAACAACAACAACAAAACAATAGCACCACTGTGATAACATGACGGCAGGCACTTGTCCAAACTGTCCAGACAGGTACAACACCAAACAATATCAGTGTGCAGATGGAGAAAATAATGAGAAATGAAACCAATACTCACCCACCAATATTGAGAAACAATGCTGACAAATGGAGGCAGCAGCCCAGCTCTGCTGTTTCCATCAGAGCACATCGTCTATCTTGCCGCAGCACCTGCCTCAGCTGCACCATCAAATTTCAGCCGTCCTTGAGGTGGGTGGAGAAAGGCTGAATTATTCCAGACTGTTTAGCCACTTCAAGGTGAAACAACAAGTGAGCTCTCAATTATTTTCCGCATTGACATAATCAGGCCTTACACCAGGGCGTTGGGAATAACACAAAATCACAATGGATTAGTCTTTTACCTTATTATGAAGGTGAAAAGGTAAATCCTCACATCTGCCTGGTCGCTTCCTCCCAACAGTGAGTGCACATTATAGGTTGAGTGTAATGTCACCTGCAGTGATATTACTCCAGCAGGCCTCTATCAAGACGGTTGTAATGGCAAACAGATGAAGCCCTTTTGGACATGAGGTTCGTCCTTTTTCTTCTGAATAAAGGACTCAAAAGTCTTTCATGATTTTGTTAAATAAATAAAGAGGGTAGAATGGGCTGTGGCATATGACCCGCTGAGGCAAAAATGTGGCTTCTGTTTTTCTGCACACTATGGTCATAAGAGGACTAAAAGAGTATAGATAGAAATGTAGTCAGAAATTCAAAACAAAGGAAAGGAAGTGTGGTTTATTTAAAGCCCAAAATGTTCATCCAAACATGAAATTAGTGTTTTTGTTGTTTAGGTTTTTTTTTGTTTTGTTTTGTTTTGTGAGCCCACAGGTCAGTGTGCAGTACATGATGTGCTACTGAGACACTGATTATTACTTCAACCTCGGACTACTGTGGGTGCAGTGAAGGACGAGCATCACTTATGAAGTTTGTGTCTGTGATAAAGTGTCAAACATAACAAAAATTTTAATCACTCTGTGTCTGAATTAAACCCGTATATTGTTTTGACCCACTTGCACTTAACACATTTATACTAAAACATTTGACTAGTTAAAAAAAAAACCACTAATTTGTTCCACATGGATTGAGTTGTCCTACTTTTAAGAAGCAAACCTGCCAAATACAATGTAAACCAATAGGGGGTAGGATATCTGACCATCTATTTTATACCCCATCAAAATCAAATCATCAATACAAGTTTGTCATCACATCAGTACTTGTACTAAGAAATTACACTTCACAAAAATGGTTTGTTTTAATGATCTGAAAGGAATCCATCTAAATATATAAAGTTTGCAGTTTAAACCCATTTTTGTTTACACCTCAGAGACATTTTAAACTAATACTGCAATCCATTCTCACTGAACAGTAAAATAATACAAACAAAGAGATTAACTCTCGAGGGAATTGGTGTTTTTTAAACATCAGGGTAAACTTTTCTTTTTCCTTTATTGTTTACGACGATATCCTGCATTTTCTAAATGACTTGAGGAAATGACTTCAGGAGCAGATGAAGAGGGAAACAATAAACTTCAAACAACTGCACTACTGCGAGAGAAGAATATTAACAACAACATACCTCTGAGCTGAATTCATCCAATCACATGGCTAAACTGCCTCCTGTTATAAACAGAACCAATTCGGTGAATGAAGTGAAATAAAGCAAGCAGCACTATAGCCTGCCCGGTCCGATACCTAAACAAACCAACTTAACTTTGAGAGACATGACCTGCAGCATGCTGGAAGAGGAAAGAAGGTATCGGATTGATATCGGCATCGACAGATACTCCAAGTTACAGCATCAATATCGGACATTTTATCGAGCCATTCCTCATAATTACAAACTTAGACCCCAAAATATGAGAGAACCATTTTAGAAGATATTAATAATAAACTACTTTCAAATCCACAGAACTCTCTACTCTGCAGAGAAAATAAAATCTAACACCACTGTTGTGTGACAGAGATGCTCTCCCTCTTTTCCCCCAACATACACTCTTCAGGTTACTTCAAGTGTTTCCCCAATGCCGTAAAGCCAAAGGATGTGTAAGATTGTAAGGGACACCCAGAGGTGTGCCTTTATTTTCTTGTTGACTTTTGGAAAGAAAACTTGTCAGATGGTGTCAAAATCCATCAGCCTGTTCCTGACCGAGCATATTTAAGTAAAGCGATATGAAAACAATGGATGCCTCCATTACTCCCTGGAGCTCCGAGGCCTCAAGAAAAGCTTCTTCCCTCTTCCATTTGCTCTGTCTCTTTTTTTATGTCGGAAGATAAATGAGCCTGCTTTGATACTGCCAGAGGGGGAAAAAGAACAGCAAGAGTCTCCGCAGAGTCCTAACCAAGGCAGCTAGGATGTAAAAGCTGGGCCACAGATTCAAATGTGACGCTAAGCAAGAACACGTTTTATAAAACTAGGCTGTCTTGGTCATACCTGCGGGTCCCTGGTCATTCCCTGGAACAGCCTCATTTTCCAATTCCTGTGACACGTCCCGAAATAAAACTCTTTCAAAACAAAATGGCCACCTGCTGTAGTCACTAACATATAAATCAACTGTGCTTCTGAAAGATAACAAATGTGTCACATAAATAATAATATTCCCTGCAAATCATAATGTCTGTGATCCCTCACTAATGGTGGCTAATGCATTTTTAGAGGCCAGATAATTGAACAAGTGAACTACAAATTCCCCTGTAAACAAGCAATTACCACTGAAACATAATCTAAATTACCCCCCCAAAATACAACATTATTAAATGAGGAAGTCAATCAAACAAGTCAGACATTAAATTGCTCATTTGGTCATTGACACATAAAACATGACGCCCAAATGTTCGGGGAGAAATCGGTTTGGGTTCTTTAGAAATGCATTTTATCTGAATATGTCTGAAATCAAAAGTTAAATGAATTTACTATATATTTAGTTTGATATGAAATGGGTTTTGAACAGTGTGTTTTTCACAAAGTTTATATGTGTGGCCATCATATTTCTAGAAATGCTGAATATCCTTACTTACAGACAGGAGCAAAAATAAATATTTAAAACCCATCTTTTTGCTATTTTTCTATGTATGCTTTTCCTTCTATAACCAGCGAGGTCATTCAAAATGCACTTTCAAAAACAAGCAGAGACAATAAAGTGTTTGAAAAAGTCCATAGATTGTTTAATACAACATACCATATTCTCAACAATTAAACATCAACAAAATTTTGTTTAATTAAAAAGAAATCTGCATATTACTTTTATTGCACAGAACAATTTAAATGTATTTTCCATAGATTTCATTTTAGAATCTTTTTTTTTTTTGTAAAAAAGAAAACAAATTATAATAAAATAAGTTGGCTTTGACTACACGGTCTGTACAGTCCATAGTCAAAAAATGAATGAAAGAACAATTCCTCAGAGTAACTCGGAGCCCAGAAAGGCTGGGTACAGTAGCCACACTTTAAACGAAGAGAGCATTCATAATCAGCAAGAGGGAGAACCATGAGCAATATCCAGTATTTTTTTTTTCCTTTATGCAAAACCGAACACATCGAAGCTGCTTCAGATTGCTCCTCAGGTGAAAACACACGTTGGGTCCAAAACTCCGGTCCATTACTGGGTCATTGTCTGTAATGTCATCCATCATAAAATGACTGAGCCTTTATCCCCACACGTTTGCAAAGCTGTCCATCGTGTGTAAAGGTAAGACTGTGAATGTAAGGCTTTGACCTCACATTTTATATGCAGCACCAAATGGAGCATAATATGCAGCAGTTCATCCCCACACCCCAGACAAACAATGTACACGTTGAGGGGAATAACAAACCTGTAACTGATCCTGGTTGATAACAATATTTCCATGGCTTGGATGGGGGCCGTGAAAGTAATTCACAAGACAAAAAAAAACAAAAAAAACAAAAAACAAAAAACAAAACAAAACAAGAATGTATATACGAACACATAAGGTTTTTTCTTTGTCCAAATATGAAATAACCATAGCCAGTGTGACCATTTTAATGTCATTAGTGCCCCTTGTTGGCTGAAGAATACAGCCCAAAATCTATACTTTCTCAATCCTTATTACAGTATATCCTCTATCCATATGCCTGTAATGACTGTTAATCTGGTCATGTGAATAAGAGTTCTGTATTTAAAACTGATGTTTTAAAATGTTTCTTTAATGCCAACAATCTAAGAGACCAAAAGCATTGCTGTTATACCTTAACTAACATCTTTGCTAAAAAGAAAGTGGTTCATCATCAGCAAACAGTTTGCATATGCATTCTAATGACAGAAAAATGTCACGTTCCCTTTATTTATTTTTTGTGGTGACACATTAGAAAGGTCTTAATAATGAATGATACACAGTCATTATTTCATATGTTTTCTTATTTGTCTATACATCTACACTGCTGCCAAATCTAATGCAGCCATGTCTACAGTTTAAGCTGTTTGATCAAAATGGCGAGAATTTCTTTTAGTTTTCTCTTTGGACACACCAAAGTCAGTGATTTACTGATGCTAAACACTGAATGTCAAAGTTTGCTTATTTGAATAATTAATTGATTCTGATTAATTTGTTGTGTCACTGAATGGTTTTGAAGCCAACGGTTTCTCATAGGTTTGACGTCCGTACCTTCATAACAACACTACAGTTCTTTATTTCCCTTATTTGCTGCAATTTTAACAGTGTGTTGGGCATTAGCTGTCTGATGCCGAACAAATACAGATATCAAGTCTGAAGCGAATCCCGTATTAAAAGTCAATGTGAACACAAACGTGTTTTCATTGCACCTTAACTAATCCGGGAGTCAATCTCCGATGAGTGTTAAAACGGCAACATTTGGAAAATATAGACCAAGGCTTACGTCTTATTTAGCACCTGGCTGTGAGGAGAAACTTATAAAACAATACAGATAAAACAATAATAAACACAATATTTATCCCTCACATTGTTTTGTGTTAAATATGGATAATAAACTGCCAATGATTAATTCAATTTTGTAATCAATGCCCCCACCAGCCTGGTAGAATCCCTGGATGTTCACTGGGTGATCTTTCATTCCCTCTCACATGGTAAAGTCAGGAACTGCCCTCCTCTAGTCCTTCAGGCAGAAAAAATACTCTATTTCAACAGACCAGGATCCACAGGTTTGTAGGAAAACAGACAATGTCCTATTTTTTACTTGTCTTTTTTTTTTTTTTTTGTGAGTTCACATTAGTAAATCCCAAGGTTCCATTAAATCATTTTCATGTTAAACTTGCGTGGAGCTTCCACTGTGCCGCTGCTCATGCCAGCGTCCGATTTCCGTGGCACATACTCAATCTCAATGTTGTGCTTTGTGTTACCTTTTCCTCTACTCCACAGAAAGAGCAATACCAGGCAGAAGAGGACGACACCGAGAAAGGAGATGAAGCCCATTGTGGTTGCGATAATCAACGTCTTTATGTCAAACGGGAAAGGGGCATTGGCTCTTGTGTCATTTGCACCCGTGTCAGTAGGCTGGTTGGAGATGAATGCAAAAGTTTTATTAGGCTGGTGTGGCCAATCTGGTGAGTAGCTATGAATGTGCAAGTGAGCCAGTGTTGTGTCGTTTCCACCTGCGTTGCTAGCTATACAAACATATGTACCATTGTCTTGAATTTGGGCATAGCGAACCTCAAGGGTACCATCTGGCAACACAGAAAGCCTTCCAATTGTCTTGGTGGTGATATACTTTTTCTGTGGGGACAACCACATAATCACCGGGGCAGGATCTCCATCCGCCTGGCAAGCGAAATGAACGATAGATCCCTCGTCAATAAATTTCTGCTGGGGTTTGCGATCCCTAATCCTGGACTTGCGGCAAGTAAAGTAGTTAGGCTGCAGAACCTCAGGAAACCCTTTAAAGTCTTTGCCGTGGACAAACTCTGGGGAGGCGCAAGTGGGCTGCTGCTGCTTGTTGAAGTTTAGTCGCCAGCGTCTTTTGAAAACCCACAACAGTCGGCAGTCACAGGCTAGGGGATTATCGTACAAGGAGAGCGTCTCCAGGTTACCAAGTGAATGAAAAACAGACTCCTCCAAGGTGCTTAGTAAGTTTCCAGACACATTTAAAATCTTCAGGAAATTTATGCCATGGAAGGCGTAAGGCTCGATTATGGCCAGTCTGCCTCCAACCAGGTGCAACTCCTGCAAACGCAGGAGTTCATGGAGCCTATGTCCCTCAATGCTGTGGATGGGATTATAAGAAAGATTAAGAAAGCGTAAGTAAACAAGGTGCCTCAGGGCAACATAGGGAATTGCGGTCAGGTTGGCATTTGCAATGGTCAGGGAGGTGAGATTTAATCCATACAAGCAATTTGGAGTCATTGTATCCAAAAAGGGCCAGTTTGCTATCTCCAGGACCTTCAACCTATAGAGACGTTTAAAGGAGTAATCCCGTATCACATTAATATTGAGATTGTGTAGCCTAAGAGTGATCAAACTGTGTAGATGGGTGAAAGCATCTGTGGGCACGGAGGACAGGTTGCACTTCTCAAGACTCAGGTGCTCAAGGCTATTGAGACCATGAAAAGCCCGGTGGGAAATGAAAACCAGGTCATTATCACCTACCTCTAAAGACTGGAGGTTATACAAATCCTGGAACATGTAGTCTAACAGTATGACAATTTTGTTGTCACTTATGTCCAGGTGTGTAAGGTTGCTTAGGCCTGTAAAGACACCAATCTGGATTAACTTAAGCTTGTTGCTACGCAGCCCCAAGGTCCGCAAGCCATAGAGGTTGTTGAATGCTCCGGGTTCAATGGTAGAAATTATGTTTTCACTGAGCTCTAGGTGTTCCAGGTTGAGCAAGTTGACAAACTCATCTGGGTTGATGGTTCTAATGCGATTCTTGCTGAGGTCCAGCAGTCTCGTGTCTGGAGAAATTTCCTCAGGTACTGTCATGAGCTTCCTGCGATGGCACAGCACGGAGTGCTCTTGAACATTGCACTCGCAGCGGGATGGACAGCCTGTGGTGGAGCCAGTAAGCACAGCGCTCAGCATCAGGATCAGAATGGGCTGCCAGAAAGCTACCAAGCAGCCGTGCCCAGTTGCTTTCCTGGCCACCATCTTATCGGTTACCTGAAAAACACAAAAACAAAGCAAAACTTAGGACTTTTGTTCTATTCATTTATTGTACATTTAATGAGGGAAAAAGAAACATCAAGGAGAAAAACACACATCAACACCTTACTGTTCTGCAGTTTGTCATATCATGTTTTGGTGTTACAGTGGAAGCATTTGCACTGCGTTTCAGCTGCTTCTTCACGAAATTTGTGTATAATATTTTCTTATTTGTACTTTACTTCATTTTTTTAAAATACTTGTAAATATACAATCAAGGTTGGTATCTTTAGCTCGTGGTGTGAGGGTGTGATGAGGATGACATGTCTAATTTTAAAATTATAAAGAATTACAAATCTTGTCTGCAGAAGACAGAAATATAAAACAAAACAAAAAATCTGAACTTTAGTCAAGCATCTCTATAATGTTTCAATTCAGAAATAGATGGCACTCATGAGACACTGACCAGAGGAGAAAAGCAGTGTGTGAATAAGTCATGTTTGTGCTCTAATATTTTTGCCACGTGCACAGGATGACAATGATTTTATGACAGAAAAATAATGTATTCTTTAAAATAGGAGTAATGACTGATGTGCAACAAGGAGGAAATAATTATATCTTACAATTAATTTCCACATTATCGGTGAATAAGAGACTTCAATTCAAATTAAAGTATTTTGCTGTAGTGAAAATAATTTTCTGGTCTTTGTTCTAAAATACCAGATGAAAAAAAAAAGCAATTTTAAACACGGTGTAAAGTGAACCTGTAATCTGAGCAGTCTGTACCTTCACCCTGATGCGTAGTGAAGTGACAAAACTCTATATGAAATTAACAAGTTTTTTTCTGGCAGTAATTCATTTCATGCCCTGTCACACACACATCTGCTGACAACATCTGTGGTTTGTTTTGTTCCCTTTTTCAACCTTCTTGTTTGATTCATACTTGCGGCTTGATTTTTTTTTCTCTCGATGAGTGCTAGAAAAAACAGCAGGGGGTGGAGCAGCGGCAGCAGGAGGATGTAATCAAAGATGGATGACGGTAAAAGCGAAGCACGCGCTGTGGTTGGAACTCAGCTCACGTAGACTTTTATGATCAAATATAGAGCACACACCAGCAGAGAATTAGACACAGATAGACAATTACAGTTTTTGAGCCTATAAAAAAAATCCTATTTAGTATCAAAACCATCTGTCATCGTGTTCCTGTTGTCACTAAGAATGCAATTGAAAACTCAACATTTCAAAAGAGAATTATTACCTTGTTTTTAATTGAGGAGTGTAGGTTGGTGAGTAATAGTTTGGGTGTTTTATTACTGTATTAAATTCTTTGAGAAGAAAGTATCAACAAATATGACGATTCTGCCTGTAAACTGGACAGGTTTCCTGACAAGATGGTTAAATTCACCTGTAATTTGCACCAAATTTACCACATTTCTGACCTTGAAAACACATCATTGCATATGCAGCAAGAAAACACATTATTGCATGTGGCAAATTAAGACGTAAAAACAGGGATGACAGTTAATTATGTTCCGACAAGCTTCTCCAATTGAATTCACCACTAATAACGTTTTTCCCCTGCAGGCCAATTGTTAGCTGGACACTGGACCCATCAAAAAGAGGGATTAGATTTACTTCTCTCAATTTCATTTTACTCTGCCGAGGTCAGAGTTCAGATTGGGGAATTGATGATACCATCTGTAATCAAGTGAAACTGAGTGATTTCAAAAACAGGCAGAGCTGGCGTGTGTGGGATCAGAGACCTGTACCAGAGCTGGCTGTGCTTCTTTTTGCCTGCAGCTATAGTTAATCATTCTCATTCTGCATCCCACATTGATCACATCTCTACTGAGTGGTCTGAGGAGGAGCAGTGTAGGGTTTAGTACGGCCTGCTAAGACACCTAAGAAACAGGGAATAGCCTTAGCACCAAAACACACTATATTATCATTATGCTTTTCCCGTAGCAATTTTGAATGTGGATCCCTCCTTTCCAATTGCAAGTAACACCATTGCGTATTTACTCTGCCAACAGTTTTCCTACAATTAAAAGGTTTAAAAAAAAGTATATATCGCCGTGCCCTTAGTATCCAGTGTATCACCCCTGTAGTGTATCCCAAGGTCCTTGCAAAAACACACCTCTACTACAACTATACAGCTACCATAATGACACACTTTATAGTCGCATCTGAAATTCTTTACGTCCGGCTTCATCCACGATTGGGCAACATTGGCTTTTATGGCCCGTAGTTTCAGCAACAAACGTACGAGTAAACAAGTAAAGACAGCGACACATTAAGATGAAGGATACCCTGCACGGATAAACGTTTGCAGCACCACTTTGTTAATGATCTCCCGTTATCGTTCTCACACAGGCACGTAGGCATACAGACTCGGTGCATTTCTTGCAGAGAGCTCCCAGAGAATTACATTAATTGAGGTGCAGTGAGAAGGGACGTGCTTTTGAATGGAATGAATGTGGTTGAGGATAAGTAAGACAACGGTGCTCAGTAAGTGAGGACCCACTGGTCTAACACCAGTAATAACCACTTCAGTGAATTGTTAAGATTAATGCCTTTGTGACAGTTACCGCTGGGATACTCCATGTGTTACTTCCCTTATCGGAAAATAGAGGCAGACTCTCGTCCTATCATAAGGGCACACTACTCATCAATCTAATGAGTAGGAGTCCTGGTGTGGTGTTTAATGTCATGTGTGGAGGACAGGTATACATCATAGGTTTGTGCACAAAGTCTTTCATCATAGGTAAATAATTGGAGTTTTATGTTATATATATCCCACTTGAACAGTGGAACCTCGAGATACGAGCGTCTCGACATATGAGTATTTCGAGATACGAGCATGCCTTCGAGATACGAGTAAAGATTTGAGATATGTGCACACTTAAAGACACCGACGCTAGTTAGCTGAGCACCTGGAGCAGCCCACGCCTACTCACTTGTTCACTTCATGTGTTCGCTGACTTCCGTACATTGTTATTAGCACTAATAAGGGAGTTAATTGTTCCTGTTATTTCTTATGGGAAAAAATAAAAAAAGTCCAAAAACTCTTAGACATTTTTTTTAATGTGTTATATGTTACTAGTAATTTCTTAAACATTACTAGTAATGTTTTCTCACTCTGCTGAATCTCCCTCCACTAATATGAACAAACCTGCAAATTCTCCTTAAGATCGCCAGAATAGGTACATCAGACATATGTCAGCAGGGATGGTTTTTAAGACTTAACCATCAGCTAATGCTGTTGTTTGTCACATAAAATGACTGCTGAGTCTTTTTAAATACCAAAGTGAAATACCTGTAATCCATTAGAAAATCCTTCAAATGATGCTGACTGTATCTGTGGCACCAAGTGTTAAAAGCCCTCAAAGCTCATTCTCTATAAAACTGCTTAGTCAGGCTCAACACTAATCCTCAATGGACAAACGAAGCTGCTGAAATGACTGCACTATTTGAATGTAAAAAAACAAAAACAAACAAATAAACAACAAAAACCAAAGTATAATTTTACAGTCCCTGTCATCAATAATCAGATTTGGAGTATAATCCTGTCATACGCTACCTAAATCCTCCTTTCAGCCCTAGAGTCTCACCTGGTTTTTCTATAACAGCTAACATTCACGTCTTCAGGGTCACCTAATTTCAAGAGAAAGGTTACTGAAGTGTCATTGAGAAGCTAAGCTGCCTGTTGGGATTGCCTGTGGGATTAAGGTCTGTGAAATGGCAGGGCTTAAATGTAAGCCAATGTCCGACAGATGGCCAGCAAAGTCCTAATCCAGGCATAAAGGCAGGTTGGTGCAACCTGCTGCAGAATACCAACAGTGGCCAAGCTTTGTCTACGGATCCTCTGCTCTCTGGCTTCTTCACCACAGAGAGAAGGCAACATGCTTCAAACAGATCAGGGTGGACATTTAACATCACAGGGTTTAAAAAAATCATCATAACTAAAGAAACTTTATTCACTTCCTGGAAACTCTTGATTCAACGTAATAACAAAAACATGTTTATTTCTGTCTTTTCACTTACAAAATGTAACTAAAAAGTTCAATCTTACACTTCCTTCTTGATTTCTTTCTCCCTGTCTCTGATTGCTTAAGTGTTCCATGTGCTGCAGGTGTGTGTGGCTGATTGTCGTCAGACTTGCAAAGTAAATCCTGTGAGCTAATTGGTGCTCAGTGTCAGGTGACACACAGCATAAGAGACCAATTTCTGCCAGCTGCTGGTTAGATGGCACTAGCCTGTATGACACTGAGACTGTGGACAACTATGTTTGTTGAAATAATATCTGAAAAGTGATGAAAGTATTGTGCTGTGGGGTTTTGGGATTAGATGGTTACCTTATTTTTTGTACTTGGATGTTGAAAAAAAACACAGTAGATGATGGAGTGGAAATTGTAAAACATTGCAGTTAGAAAATTGCAACTATAAGTGTTTTCAGTTCCTAAACTGAATCAGGTTTGGTTAAATGCTTACCCTTAAATACATCTGGAAAAAAAAAAACTCTAGATAATCATTTGTAGAGGTTCAAGAGAATTCCCATATAACCCACTTTTTCAAAATGTGTAATGTAATTTGCAGCCTAATTTAAGGTAAAGGGTTGCAGTGCTTTAAGAAACATCCAAGAGACTTTTTTAACATGTTTCAGTTATTTAAACTAAATCAGAAAAAAACGTTTTACTTTTTCATTGCTTTTCCAGTTAAGTTGAGCTCAGCTTTTGCTGAGATGTTGTTGATGGGATATTGGTAGAAAGTACTACCACAGAGTTTGGGGACTCTTACTGACAGAGCTCCAGAGATTTAGGGTGAATATGTTACGGTGCCACACGGTCACACTTCCACTGCTCTCTAAATACTAAGACTTCAACCTCCTCACCATCCGCTGCAGCGATGCCTCTGCACTGACAAAATGGGAATCATTGTAAACATGGCAATAAACACAGAACGTGCTGTGACTATTGACGGTTACTGGGAGTTTGAACGTGGATTCAATCAGATATAAA